TGCATATTCAATGTCACCAAAAATACTCCAAGAATTCTAGCAAGTCTAAGAGTGTTGTGCATCCCACAATAATGTTTCTTTACCTGAAAAACACCCAGTAACTTCGGGGTGAGTAAACAAGTTTACTCGTAGGGAATGAGCATGCATAAGTTTAACTTATTACAAAGTTTGCAATTCAATAGAATTTAGTCCATACTATTATAATGACATTGGAACTTCTAACATAGCACAATGAGATGCAATATCACAAGGTTATCAAGTTTAGAATTTAAACGCAAAATCAAACCAAAGTGGATACTTGGACATCACGCCGGATCAGACCGACACTATAGTTACTTTAGGGTTACTAGCCCACGGGTAACCTCCCTATGTGCGCAGTAGACTTGTAGAGGGATAATCCCCCGTACTAGAACCATGCCCTAGCCTTAGTCATAACAACGATATCACAAGTTTCCAAAATCGACAATTTGTGCAACGACATATATGTATTAGCATAACATATATATATATATATATATATATATATATATATATATATATATATATATATATATAATGTAACGCTATCTACCATGCACAAACCAATTTTGGAAACGCAATACATGCCCTAAGTTCTCAACTACAATGGCATGAAGAATGTTGAATAATCATTATACAATTTGTTACTCTTTATAACCATATCATTCAACAACAAGAACATAGTCTCACAAGTATGATATAAGTTTAAAAATCATAATTTAAACATGCAATCAACATGGGATACATACTCATTCAATAACACAACAAGGATAGAAATTAATTTAATAAAACAACTAATTTCTCTAGATTTCATTTCTTATCCAAACATGCTCAATTTAATATATGTTGTAGTATCTATCATGGTCATTACAAAATCACTTCAAAACCTGATTTAAATCATAAGAACATAATAATGAAAATTAATTAAATTAATTAACTAATTCCTCCAGATTTCAAAACAACCCTAAATGACTTCAAATTAACATAAGTTATGAATGAAGTCGTGGCCTTTCCAAAAATCATGTCTTAGCTTAATTTCATACAAGGTATCATTGACTACTAATTTAAAGATTTAGATTAAAGACATGTAGTTCATTTGTACCAAGTTATAACACATATAAAATATCAAAAGCATAGTTTAGAACACCCCCTACCTCACAAGAGGATTGTTCCTCTTGAATCCAAGGAAAGTAAGGGAATTTCAAGTTTTCCTTCTAGGGTTATGTAGAGGAGAGTGAGAGGAAGCAAAAGTATTCCAAGGTTTTAAGTCTAAGGTGAGTGGAATGAGGCAAAAATGATGCTTAAAGCTTCAAACCAAGCTTTACTTCAATGGTGGCTAAGTTAGGGTTCTTGAGAGGAAAGAGATGAATGAATTAAAATGTGAAAACCCTAAGTTAAAAGTGGTGGGATTCTCCACTCATTAGGTGTTCTTGCACTACCTCACACACACACTTGCAAGACTAAAGGTGAGACTTACACTTGTCGTGAATCTAAGGTTACTTCCTACACTAAATCCCTAGCCTATACTTGTCAACCATCCAAGCCAACATGTGGTCCAATCCTAGGCCAACAAATGGGTGAATCTCCACCCTCCATGTGTCAAGAGATTAAGCTTACAAGTTACTCCACCCTAATGCCAACAAGTGGTACCATGAGAATATGACACTTGTCACATTTTTCAAAAATTACAAAAAGGTCCTTGTTGAAAATATCTTCCAAATTAAGTTGCAAGATGGTCCCTAAGACGAAAAATAATTATTTTATTTAATTACACAAAACCCCTCAAGTTATGAATAATTACCAAAAGTCATGCACCCATACCCTTTACAAGAAAAGTAAACATTTAACATACTTTTCTACAAAAGTAAAAATGTAAATATCATGAAAATTTAATATCATGGATGTATGTAAGGGCGAAATCAAATCCGAACACGAAAAGTGAGGTTATACAAGTAAAAATGAAAAATGAGAAAAGGACGAAATAGAGGAAAAGACAAAAGACAAAAAAAAAAAAGAAAAAGAAAAAGAAAAAGAAAAAGAATTACCAAAAAAGAAAGAAAGGAAGGAAAGTGACCGGATCATTACAAGTTAATTCTACCATGACTATACCCACGACCATGGACATCGTGAAATGAGCAAATTTCACTTTAGAAATCGTTTTCGATCTAATGGTACTGTCAATATCTCAATAAAAGCTAATTATTTTACTCTATCACAATGGTATCAGCTTTACATAAATCCATGCATTCAACGTGATCAGTGGAGTATCTCTTTGTAAATATATGACTTTCAGTAATATTTACTCCACATCAAGTATTTTATAAATCTACGCCATTGGCGTGATAAGTGGATGATATATTCTTTTCAACATATACTCATGAGTAATTATTTCTCCACATTATCTCAATATAGCTGATTAGCAAAAAGGCTGAATTATATTCACGAATAATTTCATAATTCTACAACCACAGTTGTATCCATTCATACTGAGCTTTTTAGAAAGATCACAATACTATGTGATTTTTACCATAAGATAAGTGAGTCTTATACCGTGAGATATTCAATTTTCAAGTTATCATGTATCATTACTTTTGTGCAGTCCTGCAAGGACTCTTGATTTCTCAATTTTTTTGTAATCTCAATATCATAAAATGGATGTCATCAAAAATAATTATGCCCATAATAGTATCAAGCATTTATCATCTGACAAAACATTTCATAAATTTGAATGAATCATAAAAAACACTCAAATAAATTACTAAACAAAATGTGGTAAGACCTTACATGAATTAATGAAATAGTAATGACAGTAAAAACCAACCTTATTGATTACGTACACATATAGTGTGTGTGTATATATATATATATATATATATATATACTTAGTTGATTACTATATTATATAAATAATCCGTTAATAATAAAAACGTTATAATTGATCAAACAATATATGATTTATTAGGGATAATTAAAATATTATGCATTAAAGATCAATCTATAAACGAATTGTCTGAGTAAACACCACTTGCAATATACGCATATTGATCTATATATATAAATATATATGATAAGGTGAGTCTTTATGTTAGCCACTTAGATTACTTTATATATTATAATTCATGCCCAGTAATAATAATTCTACTTATACATGCTTCATATACTTAGATGGACAATACGCTAAACATATAAATAGAGAGTGAATCCCATATGTATCTAAAACAACTATAACATAAAGTTGGATTTAATTTATTTTCGTGGGAGAGAAAAATGGGATTTAAATTCAAAGGTTTAATTTGTCCATTCTGGGAGAGAGGACTGCAATGGCTTGGGTCATTAATGACATATTACTTTTGTCACCATTACCAATCAAACAAGGCTACTAAATTCATGAACATTCCAGTTGCCTTTTAACTCTTCTTGACCAATCACTCAATTTCTGTCTCTCTCTCAACTATACATATACATCCCCTCATAACAATATAATAATATATACGTGTATCTGTCTGTGCGAGAATAAGAATTGATTCAATATCAACAAATCCTTTAAATTATGAAAATTTGGTGAATCCAATATCCATGTAAAGATAAAAGCACAATTATTGATATATTTTATCTAAATATATACTATCAATTGCCGTCATTAATGAGAAGTAATTAATACCTGATGGAGTAATGGTAGTCCATATTGAAGAAGTTTCATGATCAACCATGGCACTAAGTACCTTTGACCTCTCTTATCTTTACTCTACTTCCGATCTTTGTTGACCTCTCTCATCTCTACTCTATTGGCTATTCTTTGAGGTAAGGAAGAAAATAAAATTTTCTTTATTGTGTTTAGAGAAGCAAACAAACCCAATAATTTATCAAAATTATTTAGGAACAAAAAAATTTATCAAAATTAATATCACAAATGAGATATATGAGTTAAGATAAAGAGAGGGAGCGAGAGCTTCTCGTTCAAGTCTCAGTTGGTTAGAGGCTCATGCTGATAACGTTTTGTGAATGTAAAAGAAAATATATAACATAAAATTATATCTTTAATATAGAGAGAAGAATGTAGAGAGAGGGAGAGAGATCTTATTATATTTTCTTAAATGCAAGTACATCGATATAACAATCAACAATTTATATTTATAGCCAAACTCTAGTCAGCATCCTTAATACACCGTTAAGCAAGTACATTTACCTCTTATTTATTGCACTGCATTTAACTTTATTTATTGCACCATTAATTCAACACTATACAATTAGTGGACACCATATATAACAAACTTTTAGTTTTCCATACATATATATTTCTCCTCACTTTCATCTTTTATTAGTTAAGATTGGTTCCATACAGTTTTATATCCATCTTTGACTGTTCAAACTAATTGGTCCTCACTTAATAAATAAGTAGTACTTAATTACACAATTAGGTAACTGTTTAAGTGCGATTGATTGACGGGCTGTTGTTGGTGTTCTTGAGTGGAATGTGCCATAGAAATCAAATATTTAAACCACCACAGCTAAGCGTCTGTCATTTTTATAGGTTGCAAACTTAAGTCTGCTAGTTAAAACAACTCCATGAGTGGTAAGAAGGTTAAACCCTAGATCACAAAAAGTCGATGCCATGATAAAACAAGATCAGAATGGAGGAATATATAGGTGTAACAATAAAGATCAATGGAACTGCTTCACATTCACAGCGGCGTCTATGGCTGTTTTGCTGCTTTTCTGGTAGCAAGCGTTATGAAAGACGTCGTCAAACATTACATTTAATCGACCATTGCAATAAAGAAGCTTCTTTCATTGCGCATGTAGCTTGTGCACTTCAAGAGCAATATGGTGGTCAAATCTGCATAAAGATTTGGGGCCATGTTGATCGTCGTGGTGGCTCAAGCATGGCAACTGCAAGCTCACAAGAAAGGAGAGAGAAGAAATGGTACTCTATACAAGTGACCGGGATATTAAAGGGAAGATATTAAATAATCTCGCAGAAATTATTTCGAATAGGAATCAAGGCATCTTTGATTGATAAATACGAAAGGTCAAATGCTACAAAATCACAAAGCTATATGAAATGATGGTATTTACAAGGAGAAAAAACAATTAGCCATACAACGATCTAACCTTCAAATCTTTACATGAATGGTGGCAAAGGTTTGTATCATTGCGACCGGAGGAAATACATACACATCATGTCAAGTTCCTAACCTCTTAACACCACATTCAGAGCAGAATTTGGAGGTCTCTCTCAAATATGGAGCGCCGCATTCATCACAAAACTTTGCCGGGTTATTTGGCTGGAATTTAGACAAATGATAACATATTAGTGAAAACATAAAGGGCACAGTAAAATCTCAACATGACAGGTAATTATATGTCCAAAGGGACTATAAAATTTCAACATGACAGGTAATAATTACATGTCCAAAGCATTTAAAGGCAGAATTCCTTTCTTTAAAGTGAAGACAATACATATCAAAAGTGAAGCAATGTAGAAGACTAGAGGCATGACCCAAAAATAAAACTAATATAAAATATGTACAAGTTCAAGGAATATGAACAAGCAAGAACAAGTCAAAATGCCCCAAAAACCAGAAAATCTGTTCCGCCTATTAACCTTAACAGTATAAGCAAGAAAAGGCCACCTCAAATGGCAAAACAAGCAGGATATCTGAACATATTAGTGCAGATGATGGTCCAATTTTGTTATGAACAGACTACAAAAATCACAACTAATGATATGCAAGAAAACTAAAAGCAGTGTTGTGATGCAGTAAGGTCTGCTACACTATAGGTGAGAATATTCATCAGCCTCAAGCCCTAAACATTAACTTAATAATAACACAAATACAGCAAAAAATTATCACACCATGAAGCACTGTTCCACATTGTTAAATTTTTCCTCTATTCTGCATATTCAGAACTCAACCACAAAGATGGACACCCTACTAACAAGGGTCCACAGGTGGATCTCATATGCATAGTTTGACCTCTGAATGAAATTTTTAGCTTTCCCTCTTTTCATGGGCCAACCTAGCATCTTTTATTTCGGATTACACGTGTAGTCAAATGAAATAGCAATTTTTATCTCACTATCTAGTAAATAAGACCCAATCTTCAGCACCTTCGTATCAATTGGTGTGTGCAAATTCATGACAAAACTTACAGAAAAAGGGGAAAGCTAATCCAAGCACATATGCACGTGACCAGAAGAGGGCCCCTTGTGAATTAGTTCTTGAGAGTGAGAGATGTAACTATAATCAACACCAAACCAACAAGGCATTGTCCCAACTATTTTGAACTCAACTCAACAAAACGAAGCCTTCCCAACTTTTAAGACAGCTACATAAATCAGGTTTGTTCATTCTGCTCTATTTAAGGCTATATTCTCAATCAAACCACATGCAATCATATCTACTAACTATTTTGAACCAGCTTCACAAATTGACAAATATAATATAATGTCTTCTCAAATGGCATTAACTCATGTTTTCTCTCTCTCCCAGTGCTTTCTTTTATCATTGCTTACTTCTTATGAAGTTATCACGGAATTAGAGGTTATGACATTTAAATTCAAACTATTATCGATTTGACCAACAGACCAAGTATGTCTGCCATGTTGACAGTGTTGGGGATTCATAACTGTTGGAGAATAATTATAGGAGTGATTTAAATCACTCCTTGACGGAATGTTAACGTTGCTATACTTGGGCAACAAGTTGTTGTCATATTTGTGTTTGACTTTCTGTGTAATTCCTTTATTATAAAATATTTGTAGAGCAAGAAATTTCTATTCTCTAGCTACAAGTCTTCCCTAATTCACCTATAAATAGAGGTGGTTGTTATTGTAAACAAAATTAACGGAGAATGTAATAAAAGATACGTAGCCCTTTGGGCTTTGTGTGTCATGGATGTAAGCCCTAGTGGCTGAACCACGTTATGTTCTTGTGTTCTTCATGTTTTAATTTCTCTCTTCAACTCTTTTTTTTTTCTTTCAACAATAACTATAATCAATGGCGTCAAATTTTCCACATAAAATAGATAAAATATAAAACAAAATAAACATGAGACCAAGTTATTTACAGAGGCCAAAAAAAAAAGTCTCACCATTACATGCAAGCGCCCTGCAACATGATTGCCCGAGAGGGGTTGTAAGCAAGCCATATGTTGGGAAATGGTTGGAGACTGCTGCGAATGAGCAATTTCAGGCAAGTGTGAAGGTGGCCCACACTGATGGTTGTGAGAAAATTGGGCTGCATGTTGAGTTTGGTGAATGGGGAGATGATGGTTATGGTGCAGAGGATGAAACTGAGGCTGATATGACAGTGGTTGCATATGGTGTTTGGATGGAGTCTGCTGCTGATTTTGTGGCTGCAAAACAAATAAAATGCATATAAATTTCCTTGTTCTAGCAATTGATGTAAAGGTACCTGCTAAACATAACCATCTGCCTTAAGTACTCTAGAAACATTATAACATAACCAGATAACAAAAAAGTTGAATCCCTAGGCGTTTTTTCAAAGTGCAAATATTTATCAAACAGGTTAACAAATTCAATTGTGAGGCACAGATGAAGTCAACACCACTCACTGACCCCTGCCTGAGGTATGATTGCATCTCATGCAACTAAGAAGATATCGGTTAAAATTTGCATATTTCATGGAAACCAATATAATCATACTTCCTCTTTGGCGATTACTATAAATGCAGTTCTCCTCAAGGGGAATGTAAAGCCTTGATTTCGCCTCACATATAGACCAAAGTAGGCATCTCAGCAGAGTGGGATTCTGAGAAAAGTATGGTTTCTAGATTTGTGTCATTTTGCACTTTTATTCTCCATTCCCCTAAGTAACTATTTCATTTCATACTCCCATCAAAGGTTTTCCTCAGTTATGTCAGACATATATGGGGCAACTGGCCTCATCCATCTTCACGCCTTGCCTCGTAGGTATTGTTGCCAGTAAACCTCAAACAGCAGAGTAAAGCCTTCTATCATTCCCCGCCCCCCTCCCTCATGCTTATTTTAAGATCCTACGGCTAAAAAGCCCTTGTCCTGACGGGTACAGGTGCTTGTCATGTGCACAAGGAAAGTTAATCCCATGTGCAACTATGCCCACCCTCTTTTTCTGCTTATTTTAAGATCCTAGGCTAAAAAATCTTCACGGATACAGGCACTTGTCGTGTGCACAAGGAAAGTTAATCTCATGTCAAAATAGTTGCATTCTGCAATCTTTGTATCATCAGCCATACAAAAGATGGCTGGCTGATTGTGCATTTGAGAGCTTGAGCAGTAAAAGATGTCAAATCCGAAAGATGACACATTAGTTAAATATTCCATATCAGTGAGAATATGGCAAAACAAAATGGTGTACAATTCCAGATAAAGCACAGAAATATTAGACCTAATGCACTAACTTGTTCACAAGAACCTTTATAACAATGAATATAAAATGTTAATTTATACTATTGACTTACTCAGAAAATATAAAATAAATAAGGCTATTTTCGTTGCACAAAAAGTCATGGTGTTCCGTGATAGTCTTTCATGGAGAAACTGGAATAGTATTACGGAGGACAACATTTCTCACCATCTAATGTCTACAGAACACTATGACCAGCAACCCAAAACCTCAGCTCAATTAGGCAGATAAGACTGCCTAATTGGACTAGGCAAGCAATCCAAAATTTCAGAAATGGCGCCTAACCAAAGGTTGCAACGAACTATGTATCCAAAACCTCCAAAATAAATTTTAAAAGAAATCCTCCCAATTGACATACAGTAACCCCAAATTTGCTGATTTAGTAAGTTTAATTATATCTTACAAGACAACCTACAAAAAGATTATAATGAATCACACAAGTTTCTCCTAATAACCCAAATTTGTTTAGCATACTTATAATATTTTATAATAAAAATACTACTATGATAAGAAAGTCATAATCGTCTTCACTTCTTTGGTTTTTTTTTTTCTTTGGTAAGTATCATCGTCTTCACTTTTGCTAAAACATGGACCAACTATGCATATCATAAGCTACTGATAAAAAAATCCTGTTAATCTATGCAACCTACAACCATATGCATTCCCAATAAGGTGTTTTTAGTGGAGTTAGTATTTAAATTAGATGACATAAACACTACTCAAACAAACCTTAATGCTCGGCAGTAAAGAAATTATAATAATATAAAACTATCGAAGTAAAAAATATATACAAATGCAGAAATTCCCATCAGAAAAATAAAGAAATTCTTACTTCATTTATAGAGCGGAAACCTGAAGCAGTAGCCATAGGAGGAGAACTATCAGCAGCAGAGAATGTCTGAAGAAATATATCAAAATTGACATATTAGCTTTACCTCAACTGTAGCAAGTCTAAGCAATCGATGTGTTAGTATAAAGGCACGTCAGGCTTACAGGCAAACCAGGGATGTTGGGCACAGAGTTCGATGCAACACGCCTATACTTGCGTCTTGGAGAATAAAATTTATAATCTCTAGCAGAGATAGCAACTTCATTCCTACCAGTCAATCTTTTGAACCTATACGAGTCAGCATGCAAGTCAGATACAAGAAAACTTCAACTCAGTATACCAAATCCAATCACTTGACTCTCTCTTTCGGGGTGTGGGGGTATGTTGGTGGGGGGGAGAAGGCTTATGTATGCTGAATAAATTAAAAAACCATGTGCCAGCTCAAGTCATCAAGCAGAGTGTAACTACTAGAAGCCATACAAATCAAAGACATGAAGTATTTCCAAGAGCTGGTTGTCCATCAAGTTGTATAAAGTAATCAGGGCCTGACAACTGTCCATATAAACAGCTGATATGATGGTAGAGCACAAACTATATAACACATGAGATATAAGACCATAATTTTTTTTCTAGATTCAAGAAAAGTTGAGATTTGGTCACCTGATTAATTTTCATCCTAAAGACTAAAGATAATGATCTTAAAAATAGAATGGAGATATTCAAGAGATTCTCTTAACAAAATTAGCATCTCACCTTTAAAAAATTAATTACAAGATTGTCACTATTAACAATATCAAACAACATGGTCCATTAGCAACAGTAAGTTAACTTTTTCGATGATATATTTATTGAAACAACCAGAGAAAGTGGGAACCCAACCAAGGGCTTGCGGTTCACTTCTCTTCTACACCAGTCCCTATGAGTGGCTTGGGATGGGAGGGCTATCATGCATGCACTCATGGTATCAATGTAGTGCTCAAAAGAAAATATAGGGACAAAGCTGCAACTTAGAGAATGAGAATCAACAAACCAGAATGTGGTAACAATTCTATAAATGAAGCCTAGCAGACAGATTGTGCGCAGAGTAAGCCAGCAGCTCAAGAACAAATATTCACAAAAGGAAATGCTATAGAAGGCTGAAAATATTTTAATTTCTGAAAAAAATCATATAAACTAGGCGAAATTCAGTAAATTACTGCACATTTTCAGCCCAATTTATCATTGCCAAAGTGAATATACAAACTTACATGAACTACATAGTGTTGGACCTCAAGTAGTAAGTTACTGTACAAAATTAACTGCACAATATTTTTGTCTAAAGTCTTTGGACCCCACTATTTTTGTCTAGATCCTCAACAATATTATTTGAAAACGATATCAAATTCAATCCTAGATATGATTTTTCATTTATTCTGCAAAATATGTTACCAACAAACTGAGATAAAAAATAGGGAAAAGAAATATATCCAACTTAAGCCCACACAAGTGAAACAATCTAAAACCACCTTCAGGAGGTACAGTGGAGAGAAATTTGGTTTCATATGTAGAAGAAAGTACTGAAATATTGCCCCAAAATAGGCCCATCTGGGAAGTTTAAGGTGCAAGAGGAGACCTTATATCAACCTAGTATCACAACTTCGTATGATCCTATCTAAGATCTTTTATTTTTAACCTTCATATATTGTCGCTAATCCAAATCAACCAGTGGATTGCAAATATGTGTGGTTAAAAAGCCATGCCTTTGAAAACTAAGCACAAAGAATAACAGTAAACAAAAAAAATTCAAGGCTCAGACTGACCACTCGGCATCATCAACACACATATTTGTTGGTCTTTCAACAATATCCAGACCATTAACTACCACAAAACGAACCCGCTTCTCCTCTTGTATCACTAATTCTGGAAATCTCGTCCTTGTTTCAAGAGAAGTCGCCAATTCTCTTCTTTTATATACATAAGACCCTGCATGTCAAATCATTGGGAAAAAAAATTATTAAATAAATAAGTAAGGAAAAGGCCCGTCTCTTGTACCAAATGAATTTGCTGGGGTAAAAAAGTAGGTAGAGAGAGAGAGAGAGAGTATAACTTAGAAAGGGGATGATAACCATGTAAAAGAATAAAGCTTAAATAGCATTAAATAGAACTGCTCATATGCTCTTAGAAATTCACTAGATTAATTCCAACATTCTGTAAATCAAATTCAAGAAAGGCCATATCAAGACTTTATCTAATCTAATAACCTCAAAAGAAGAACTCAATACCTTTCCTAGGGAATTTCTTCGCGAGCTTTCTGTATAAGCCACCAGCAGCTTCAAGGGCCACGCCAATGGACTTTTCACGAATGCCATTTAAGGAAGATATTCTGATGTTTGCTTCATTAACCAAAGTTTCATACATATTTGCCACATACATCAAAGGCAAGACATACCTCGCATCGCCTTCATAATAGATTTCTCTTGACTTCCTCTTGTTTAACTTATCTTGAGCAGACTGAGCTGTATAGTCAGCCTCAGAATCTGCCATCTCAATTATATGCGAGATAATAAAGTGATCTACAATAATGTCCAAAAATCTTGCCCTCGCTGCTTCAACTGGCAAAATATCTAGTTCATAGTCAAATTCAGATGAGTCGGTCAAACAAAAATAATTCATAAAACTTCAATGATGATTCATTATGTGGACCAAAAAGGATAAGTCACCTTCAGTAGTCAAGCAGTCGTAAGGACCCCTTGAAGACCCATTATTCTCAAGGCTAGAGCGATCTTCCTCCACTCCTACACTATGAAGAGGTAAAGAATTCCTGTAAGATTCATGAATGCAGTCCTGAAAGAACAAAACTACATTAGGCAAAATTGTAGGGAGAGGAAAAAAAGAAATAATGCATGGCCTTCAATTGATTGCTGAGAATGTTTAGGAAACAGGACAAAATAATATTTAGAATCTTAGATATTAGATTTTTTATTCCTTTAGTGCAAAAATCAAGGCCTTCTATAACTGTTTGCCTGATAAGTAAAACAGGGGTTTTCATTTTCATGAGAACAAAACAATTTTAAATATGAAATTCCAAATTTCGTTTTCTTTCATTTTCCACAGCTTCCCAGCAATATAATGAAAGATTAGGAATCTACAATTCAATTAGAAGTGAGTAAATAAATTGAAGCCCTAAATGTTTTACGAGTATGAAAGTATGCAACACATTCTATTTTTTAGTGACAACAAAACATCCAAAAACAGATGGTAGGTTAGTTCTTAGCTAAGGAGGTAATACAAGAAGAAAGGTGTGAGGTACAAGGAATTCAGCTGGAAGGAAACTTGAACCCACTCTCTCTATGACCAGACAAGATGCACATTATTGACTTAGATCTAAAAACCCAAATTGTCTTCTTTACAATATTCAAAGAAATAGAGTGGATCACAAATAGCACTATGTATCAAGGAACGAAGCAGACTTTTCCTCGGTTGTTACAAATTTCTGTGGGAAACGAAGCTTTAGTTGTCGATGTTTGCAGAATTAATGGGACAAAAGTGCTTTGATAGAGCGGTTTCGTAGATCCATGAATGATTTGCAGGATGAAGTAGTGGAGGATTCCTTAGATTTATACAGAGTGGACCTAAGGGGAACATGATTAGATTCAAATGAAGGCCTTGAATCGGGGAAAAAAGAAGTAGAGATGATATCTTTTCATAACCAGTTGGTGAGTCCTCCTAGGAGAAATTCCCTTTGAGAGCTATTTTAGAAGTCAACCCTCCCTCAAGAATGGCCATTTTTTTCTCTAAAGCATGGACAACAGAATATAAAAATTTCTAACAGTTGAAAATTTAAGGGATCCACAGTTCATGTTGCATGTCTAAGGAAAATAAGATTCGTTGGAGCATTACCTTTGCATTGTTGAATGGCTAGGAAGGTTTGGTTCTTGGTGTTTTCTACGACAGTATTGAATTTGTTTCAAAGTCAGAGAAGGGATTGAGAAGTAGAGTAGAAGGAAGACTTGGGAACTGATCTCTTTTTGTCGCACATGAAGGGCGGAATATTGGCATCATTTTGATGGAGTGGAAGAACTGACAAATGGGATGAAAAGTATTTTGACTGTTTTGCATAGCAGGGTAACAGTGAAGTTAACCCCTTGATACAAAAATTCTTTGCTTTTATAGGAAGTATGGATTATTTGTATAGGTTAATAAAGATTTTAATACGTCCCGATCCCGTGAACATTATTTTACATATCAATAACAATATTTTACATATCAAAACATCAAACATTAAATACTAGTTGGTAACTGACATACTGCACTAATAAGTACGTACTTTCAGAAAACAAGAAGAAAAAGATTAAAAATAAAAATTGCATAAATCTTGCTTACACTATAGCCTCCTATATATTTCCTCTATATGGTTAGGTGAACAGGGAAGCTTAAATTAGAATTAGTAACCACATTATTCCAAACTCATTAGCATTATGAGTATGGAGCATTTAATAGATTTAAGATTTACTAAGAAAATCTTTTTGAATAAATAAAACTTACATGGCAACTTTTGCTCCTCAAATCCACATGTATAAACATATCAATTACAACTTTTGTTATCTTTACTTCTGGAAAACAGAGAAAATTCAGCAGATTTTGATTTTGGAGAAGATTGATGGCTTCAGGTATTCATTTTGACTACAATAATCTCAATATTACCATGTTCCCTTCTCCTCTTCTTAGTTTTTGGGTTAGTATTGAATAAAACGGAATAATATGTACAGAGATAACATTGGTTTAACCATCAAATTCTATTCTTTTATATAGTATAAGATATAAGATACATAAAACATTAGTTTGTGAGATTCAAAAAGACACTAAATTACAACAATGCCATAAGCAACACTCACAACTGCAGTCGATTCTTCACCATTTTCCAAGCTATCTTCGGTGACTGCATCGCGATCAACGTCACCAATGCCCTCCATATCTCCAGGCCGACCATCGACAGTGTTGAGATCATGCAAAGAGCCTCCAATGTATGAATTCGCTGATCGCAAATTGTAGTGCTGAACTGGAACCCTAGCCCCCATCTATCCAAACCAAATTCAATTCAGCCCCAACAAAGAAAAACCTAATCATCCAATCACCATCTTCAATCCCTATCTCACAACTTCATTTTCTTCTTCTTCTTTTTCTTCTTCTTCTTCGAGAACCTTTTTTCTACAAAGCATAGATATAATTTAGAAGACATTGGAGGTGTTTAGACTTTGAGAGATAGAAAAACCCTAGGATATACAGAGCTAGGATATACAGAGCTAGAGAGAAGAGTTTTAAGAGAGAGAGAGATTGTAAAAGAGAGAGAGAGAGCATCCAGACCTCTGACCAGACCTGAGCTTTCGTCTAGCAAAAGCAGTGTCCAAGCCTACCTCCGATCTAAGCACCAGATCCCAAGCCGGGTGGTGAAGTGAAGTTAAATAGTGAAGGAGTTTTCATAACGTGGGTGCGTCCTCACAGTATTTGTTATGAGCTATTCCATCTGTCTCCATGCATCATCATCCGTATGTTATTGAAAATGGAGCATTTGAATATTTTAAAAGTTGTGAAATTGATGTACTAAACTATAAATTAAGAAATTCTATAATATATATATATATATATATACACTAAAGACATACAATTAATGCATTGTTTCTTTTTAAAATTATCAAATTGTCCTTTTTAATTTAAATATATATAGTTACATAGTTTGAAATTTTTTAAAAAGATAAAGGACAATGATGAAAATATAAAAAAAAATTGCTTTGACTTTTCAAAGAAGACAACTAATATGGGACATATAAAAAGAAAAAAAAAATGTACTATTAATAAGGGACGGAGGGAGTATATATTAGATATTTTGTGTTGAGTTATAAGTTAAGTCTCATTAACTTTAATTTTATCTCAATTTAAATGAGATTCCATCTATCTTGTCAAATGCACTTAATTGAAACTAATATCTTTCCTTCTTTTATTTGATTCCAGAAATGGGAAAAAAGAATTGACTACCTCCATTAATTTATTTATAAAAAAATAATAATAAAAGAGAGAGGAGAGGATGTTTTTAATAGTATTTTTTTCAAATTATATCCTTCATTGATAATTATATCATTTCAATTTTATCCAATAAATATTTTTTCCTCATCCTTTCCCCCCTCTCCTGCATCAAACAAAATCATAATTAGGAATGGCTTTGTTGTTTGGTTGACAAGAAAAAGAACATAAATAGGAATGGCTTTGTTGTTTGGTTGACAAGAAAAAGAACATAAATAGGAATGGCTTAGTTGTTTGGTTGACAAGAAAGGCGTGGACTGATTATGTACTTCTTCATCCTGGGCAACAGTATAAGAGCTAATCCACATATTCCTCCTCCTGTACACATTCACCTAAAGGAAGGCTATTGGAGAGGATGGTAATTTACAGCCGCAACCAAGAAGTGAAATGGAAGAATAAAAGAGAGTCGTTTTTGTTGTTAACTTTCTAAATTTTGCAGTCATGCCTCTGAAGCAAATTTCTCATTCAATCAATTCAAGACTTTAGATACAGCTAAAATAGATGATTCTAATAATACAAAGGTAAATAAAACAAAAACAAGACTGACTCTTAATGATCCAACATCTAGGCACAAGAACCCACAGCAGCTGAATTTTTTACTTATTCAGAGCCGAATGCTACTATAAAGAAGTTCAGGTCCTCTGCAAATACTAATAATCATAGTTTGAGCAAACCACCCTCTTCTTTTTATGAGAACATGACACCTATCTTCTTTGCAAAATCATCCCCATCGTCATCGTCCACATATTCGTCTTCCTGGTCTGCATGTTCACCTTCCTCTAGGTTGAAATCTTCCCCATCAACCTGCTCGTAATCAGAGTCCCCATCCCTCTGATCATAAGCTTCAGTGCCATGATATTCCACAGCTTCATCACCTATTATCATACCATCTTCCATCTCAAGCTGGCTCACTTCACATTGTGGAGAAGACTCGCCATCAGTTGATTTTATTCTTTTTGTAGGAATTAAACCTTCTTCTGCAGATCCACCGTTGTCATCTGCTGCGAACTTGGATTCTCCCTCACTGCCATGCACAAGGTTGGCTTCCTCCAATACACTTTCCTTCTGATCGTAGTCATCAGATACTCTCTTTCTCTTCAGAATCTCACTTAGAGGCTTTGGCCCTTCAAATGAGAGATCGCCTTCAGTCTGTTGACGTCCTTCTAACTTGGTGGGGTATTTCCGTCTCCCAAGGGAAAGTGATTGTTGATTGTAGATTTGTTGCTCGTCGCTGTCACTGTTCTTCCCAACTTTCAGCTCTGACAGACGCTTTGGAGCAGCAAAATCAGCATCATTGTCATTTATTATGTCTCTTTTATTGCGCAGACCTCTAAAATTTCTCCCTTCATCATTGAAATCCTCTTGCAGTCTCCCTTTTATTCTGTCTCGAAGCCTTCCCTGGTGAGAGGAAATCTGTGGCCTTCCCGGTGACAATCTGCCACCAATCCTTCCCCCATCCATTTCCCTTTCTGCACGCAGATCAAATCTATTCACAGGAGAAGATGATCTTTCTGGAATTTTTATTCTTCCCCGGAGGCGACTGCTTAAGGAACCCTCACGCGAGGTTACATGACGGGCCTCCCTGCGAGAACCCCGGTAACTGCGATCTTCGTCACGGTCATCATTTGCATACTCCTGACTAATAACTGATCTCAAACCATTAACCCTCCTTTGCTTTGATAAACGATGTCGCAAATCTGACCCATCAATTTGATCAGGACTATCACCTCTAGGATATTGCCTCCTTTCCAGATTAGCTAAACCCCCCACCATCCTCTCGGATGAAGCCCTGCGCTGCTGCTCCCAACCAAACTGCCCTTGCATGCGCTCGTATGGGTCATAGCCACGTGAATCACGATAAATATTTTGGTCAACATCATTATAATCAGCACCATCATATTCGTTCATGGGGTATGAATTCCTTCCCTCATGAGTTTGTGTTCTCCCAAATTGATCCTCATTATGATAATAATCAGAATCTCCGAGTTCATCATCGACAAGAACATCAAAACCAGGGGAGGGTTCCCTTGATAACTGATACGCATCCCTACCATTCAAGATATTGTGACTATCTGATACATGGGCAGACCTGCTGATCGAGTCTCCATTGTTTGCAGGAGGAACATCAGTTGGTCTGTACCTTAAAAACTCATCATCCAAACCTGAAGGTGGTGGCATGTTCTTATGAACAGCAGCTACATTTTTTGGAAGAGTAATTTCAACTTTTGCCACTGGTTTTGCCTTGGGGCGCAATTCAATGGGCATCGGAACAGTTGTTTGTGAAATCTTTTTCTCATGAGTACACCTTTCAAGGCCACCAAAGGTCTTCACAGGAGTGGGAGGCTCGGTAAAAGGTGCAGCTGCAGCTACCTGTGGGACTTTATTGTTGGTAGTGTTTGGTGCATGCAAGAAGGAGCATTTGTCACCTTTTAAGCAAAGACCTTTTTGGAAGAAGATGCAGGGCACTGCTTGTTTACTTGAGCTGTATTGAGCATGCGTCGCAGGTGCTGCTGCAGTCTGAGACTGAGCCATAGAAGATCTTGCAGGAGTTGGTGTCTGGGCTCCTAACAATCCATCAAGAGGCTAAAAAAATAACAAGAAGAAGTTAATCTTTCATATTATAAACAGTGAATATAATATAAAGAAACTGCTATTTCATATGTCAGAAGTTTTTTTGTCAATTCTAGAATTATCAAATTGTCTAATATAAATATAGTTGGACCAAGATAAGTAAAGAGACTTACTGGATGCCGGAATGCACACTTCGGATTTAAGCAATTACCATTCAACCAATACCAGCAATCCCTGGGGTTAACCCGGGCAATGTCGCTATGGCGATACTCACACTCACTTCCCTGTTGACAGAAAAGGTGGGAAAAAAATTAAGGCCATCAAACAAAAATAATAATGCAATAAATAAAAAATTAATGTCATCATTACATAATCATTTAATTAGTAAACATGCCTTTTCATTTGTTATTTATTCTTCATTAATATGCTCTGTTTTGACAGAAAGGATGCACAATCAGACTCCTTAGAGAAAGAAAGGTGTTTGCTTGAGTAGGAAGAGAATAAGAAAAGAATGGGAAGGTGTACTGCATTATTCAACCCTATTTTAAAATTGTTGAATCTCAATGCAAGGACATTGATAAGATCACATTGATGTTAAGAGGGTATATCCACACCCAGAGAATATAGAAAGAATAGTCTATCTTTGTCCTAGTGGCTTTGGATCTTAACTTCTAAGTCCTAGGTCAAGGTTTCAAGACCGGTAAAGAAGAGGGGAAAAAAATAGTAGAAAGAATAAAGTACTGAAGTGAAAAGTATAGTGGCATGATCAATTGCCACGACAAATTGATGAACGTAGTGCATGTTATGGCAGGTGTTCATGAAAAGAATGCATTAATATTTAGAGATTACAGGGTCCAGTAACAAAGCTACTTGTCGTTTACCTCTTGAATTGCAATTTTTAGCATTGATTGCTTAAACGGTTCGATAAATATGCTAATATTCTAAAGAAAACATTTGGAAACGTTCAACGCCAGCTGTTTTCAGAAAAGGAACCAAATGTTTGTAGGTTCCGATCCGAAAGATCTCTCTCACGAACGTATTCCAAATTCAAGAGATTCTCTGCTTTCTCTCTCCAATGCATGACCCACAAACCAGTGTTGAGCTATCAATTATCACTAACAAGCACTAATAGAGTTGAAATAAATTGAACCCTAAATAAGATCTGCATGATTGCAAACCAGTCTTTAATGGGGTGTGTGTATAAATGAGTATAACTATATATTCATAAGTACACCCAGCCAATTGAACAAATAATATCATTACAATTTATTCATATATATGGCTTTCCCTTAATTACTTCCCCAATTCTAAAACAACCCAAAACCTAATTAGCAACTAAATCAACGTTACAAAGCCGTATTTGAATACCAAGCTATAGATCCCCAAAGTTAAACCCGTCAAGATTTCTATACATGCAAAGATCTCCGTCAACAGAATGAATCCTTAACACTATTATCCAAAGAACACATAAAACACGAAAGCACAAACATATATACACATAAAAACATATATAAACATACGTGTGTGTGTGTGTATATATATATATATATATATGTACGTACGTAAGAGATGAAAATCTAACCTTCTTGCAGGTTAAGGGTGAAGCCAGAAAGTAAATGCAATCGGTGTTCCTTTTCAAGGCGGCTTCTTCGGCCGAGGTTGTTGTCGTTGTTGTTGCTGGGATTGTCGTTGTGGGTTGAGATTGAGATTGAAGTTGAGGTTGTTGTGCACCCCCGACCATGGCGATTTGGGTATGCTAGCCCTAAGAGAGAGAGGGAGTTCTGTATCTTGAGATAGAAATCACCGAAGGATCTAGGGTTACGAGGCGGCTCAGAGTCGATTCACCGCATGGTATAGTAGCTACGGCAAGAACCGATCAGATCTTGAGAGAGAGAAAAGGCGAGAAAACTTTCTAGAGAGAGAAAGTGAGCCGCCAGATAGAGAGAGATAGAGATTGGGCAGAAACAGAAACGGAGCGCATGTATCTATGTGGCCTTTAGCCTAAGCCGAGTACCTTGTTTTTTTTTAAGGTCGGTCTGAACTCTCTCTCGTCTGGTGTGATATATATATATATATATATATATATATAGATGGGTTAAGTGCAAAAAAAAAATCCATTTACTACTGACATAGTGCAAAACAGTCTTCTGTATATATAAAAAGACATTAATACATTCTCTAATATAAATATAAAAAGACATTAATACATTCTCTAATATAAATTTTTGGGTTAAGTACAAAAAATAATCGATACATAGGGTTTGTGCAGAAATAGTCCATACTTTTTGAAAATGTGCATTTTAGTTTATAAAATTCAAAAAAAATGCTAATAAACCCTCTGACCACTTTTTAATTAAAATTGACATAAAATAAATTTTTTAAAAAAGACATGATATTTTATCCTTATTTGAAAAAACATATACTCTCTCTATATATATATATAATAGCATAATTTCCTTTTAAAAGAATCCATATTAGACATGAGTGTCTACGGAAAAAGTAATTTCACTATCCTAAGTTGAAGAAAGTAGGACCCACAACATCCTTTTGGGTCCTCTGGAAACATAAAGTGAGCAAATGCATGCAATTTTAAAATTACAATGATTGTAATTTCCAAAAATAAAAAATAGTGATCATCCTTGAAATTTATCATAATTACTTTATAAACCAAATGCATTATTTGTTGAAAAATTATTGGTTAGTTTAACTTTACAGTGGCTGGTAAAAAAAAAAAAAAAATTCTACTTTACTGTAATAATCAAGAGGAATAAAGTTCTATTTTTTAATATATCTTTAATTTAGTTCATAATTCATTAGTAATTAATTTTTTTACAGCTTCGTCATCACTTATTGAATATCTTACATATATTTATTTTAAGGTTAATGATCTTAATTGGATAATATTGAATTTTGTAATTATTAGTATAAAATTTATGTGAAAAATAAATTCAAAAATAAAAGTTAATGGTTTTAAATTAATCGAAATTTTTGAAATTTTTAGGCTAAGTCTGGTTATATGAAAATTAGTAGTGGTTATATTCTATATTTATTTAGCATGAATTTTTTACATTGCCCAATTTTTTTAATATTATTTTATTTATATTAGAGATGGTATTAATGTATTTTTGTCCGAACCGGGAGTAATTGCACCAAATTGATAGTATAGGGAGTTTTATATCACACATGGACTATTTTGCGCTATATCAACAGTAGAGGGTTTTTTTGCACTTAACCCAAGGGTAAAATCGGATTTTTGAATTTATGTTAGGTGATTAAAAAGTGGTCAGGAGGGCTTATTTGTAATTTTTATTTTGATTTTATAAATTAAAATACACATTTTTAAAAAGTAAGAATTATTTTTGTACAAACCGTATATATGAGGGCTGTTTACTTAACCCTGTATATGTCTTTTGTGTATGACTTGTTATTAGACTTGAGAGTCTAAGCAGTGGATGATGGATGTGATGCTAACTTGACACGTGGCATATTTACAACCCTACGATCATTTCAACCTATGACTCTTGTGCCTCCCAGATACTGTGATCCCTTAAAATCTCAGCCTATGAGACAAGAATGGATTGCAAAGTGAGCTGATATAATCGAACCCATCCGTTTAAAGAAAGGTCCGGTCTGGCCCACTGGCATGCACTTGTGATTGCACAAGGGCTTATAAAATGACCAAGGTTAATACGTTATTCAAAAAAAATAAAAAGGGGGCTAAATGATATAAACTTCTGATTAGGTTAAAGACGGTCATTTATAACCTAGTCACATCTTGGAAAATAATACTCTATTTTATAAATGAGATTCAAACACTTCTAATATGCCCCACGATAAAATATTTTATTTTTATCTTTTCCTAAAATGATCAAACTACTCTCAGTAATATACTACCACATTTATTCATTTCTCAGTAATATATTACCACATTTATTCATTTTTGGAGACACTGTCTCACCCCTTCTCTCTCTCTCTCTCCCACCCACCACAGTAAACACACCTTTAGGGTTTGGGAGGAGCCAAGACGCCACTTCAACCTCCTTGGCCTCACCGCCGGAGGTGTCAAGGTCGGAAAAGAACTAGTTGTTGCCGGTTAAGGACTTAATGGTGGAGGTGGAGTCGTAGAAGGGAACCACCAGGAAGCGCTCGTGGAGGCAAGCGAGGGGGTTGGCGGAGTGGATCTCGCTGTTTCACGTGACGCACAGGGACGGAGCCAGGAATTACAGTTTGGGGGAGGGTGGGTGGATTCTAAAACTAAGACCAAAAATAAAATCTGTCCTACATCAAAGAATGGCCATTCGCATAGCTTATATTTTTTCTCCTCATGTCTGAGATGCTAATATTGCAGAGATTTTATGATTAGTAGTTTAGTACATTACAGAAACGGAGAAAGGATAAAGCTTCACTGTCAATGGGGTTATGAGAATACCATCATTGAAGGTGACTCTAAAAAATGTTGTCAAACGGAGAAACTGTTGCCTGTTGAATAGCTCCTACTATATTCCTCAGATGGTTATTTTCATGATTCAATATTCAAAAACTAAATTGTAATATTGCACTAAAAGTTCATTCCATGCAAAAACTATATGTATAAGAGCTTTTGGTCACCTTGTTGCTCCACTTCTACAATAACAGCTTTCCAACTCTCGATTACAATCATAGAAGGATAAGTTGGGTAGGTGTGCCCATCGCATGGTGACCACTTAAGTTTTCAAACAATTAAGAATAGAGAATACAAGATGAAACAAATACTAAAAATGATCTATATGACACATTACAGGAGGCTTGACCAGCATACAAAGCTCTGCCAAAAAGTGATTCAAGTTTCAAGAGCGCCGCCAACCACAACATGAAAATAAGGAAGGTATACGCCCGGTTCGGCGAATATACTCTGCCTGCTGCTCTGTTTTTGCGGCTTGCTGGTTTCTTTTGGCCTCCGCTGCCACTCGCTTCTCTTCAGCCTTGTGCCTTACAGCTGCTAGTTTGTTCATCAGCCTATCATGCGCTCGCCCCCTAATCCTCTCCACCTCTACCTGGAAGCCATATACGTTGGTTTGCAAGAACATGTCAATTTGAAATTGAATTTTACAGAACATAGTTTAATACAAAATAAGAGTGTTGCAAAATTCGTCAGTTACTTAATTAAAAACTAAATGCAACTGATTTCAGGATTTAATGTTTTAGCATCGAAATATTTCTTAACCCATATGTGAAACATTCCTTAGTTCTTTTCCCACACATATAGTTTCTTATAGTGAACCATATCAATTTCTCTCTTAAAAGTTGCCCATATCAACTTCATCCCTAATCTAATAACTCCAAATTAGCCCACAATAGAACTCTGGCCTCTCTCTTCGCTGTAACCAGGCACCCCCTCGATACTCACGTATAGGCAATATTCTGGCTTACCCATGCATTCTTCTTGCAATCAGAATTTTGTTTGCAAGGAATACCCTAACATTTGATAAACATTCTAAATTTCATGTTGATAATATTTGAAGATAGGATTCCAGTAATACATCAGTTTCCTTGATCCTACAATCCCAGGTTCATTTATGCTCTTCTCTTACTCTATATTGCATTTTCCAATCAAACACTAAATCCTATATCATTTGACTGCCAACTTACTCTATTGCACTTCTATTTCAATCAAAAGCCAATGCAGCATGCCATTCAGTGGGAACACACACACATATTATTGATTCTCTTTTTAAATTCATGTTTATAATATCTAATTAGATGATTTCCATTGCATATCAGACTCCTGCAAAATTCTACAATCGTCAGTATATGAAGATATGATTCATAGGATCCCTATGTAGTTAACAAAACAATTAATCCAGGTTAGTTATGTAGCTCAAAGGGCTGACCGTTGCACTTGATCTTACAGTCAATAATATTCATAATAAATATCACAAACACCGAAACAAATCTTTTTTATCATCTCAAAATAAATAAATAAAAAAACCAAATGTCGTTTGGACAAGAACCTCAACACAGTTCCAATCACTTTCAAGTATATTTAGCAAAGCATTAGGTCAGAAACCATAAATGCTAAAGACCCACATGTTAAAAACACAGAGTTACGTCCATCAAATAATTGTGAGCATGATATAGTTAAAGACCAGTTGCTATACACACAGCAATGAAATTTCTTTAACTCTACAAGGACTTGGATGTAGCCTCTATACCAAATCTAACAACTCCATCCCCAAAGACCACTCATATCCAAGCAGCAATGGACTTCTGGGTTTTGGAGGCTTAAAAGGTCTTGTTATACCTACAACATTGAAGAGTGCTAAATGCTAATGATGACTTATTTACATTCCACCAGCAGTAATGCTCAAATGTATTTCCAGTTAAACCCAAGAGGATATTGCAAGGTTGATTCTCATAAACCATAACAAACTAGACATAAGTGGTTTATCATCTTAGACATTCAAATTGAATTACCTTATTGACACAATTGCAAAATATTTTATTGCATCATCAGTTACGCGTTGGTTCATTTGTAGAGGGACTTCGACAGATCTTAACTGATGGAGGTTGGGGGTCCGAAAACAACTTACGGATCAAGAGATATGAGGATATTGATATTAAAGCACGGGATGAAATAGTCAATGCCTACCATTAAAGCATGCATAATCTACCAATAACATATTCCTCTGACACTTGAAATCTCATATTTTAGTATAGAAGTTCCTTCACTACGTACATTCCTGGTTGGCTCAATTAATGCTACTACTCTCAAACAGACTAAGGATTTTTGAATAGTTAGTTGTAATAGAGGTATCACAGGAGAAAGAGAAAAAAAAAAGTTATCACAGTAGCCAGGTCTTAGGTTCGAAGCTCAGAGCCTACAAATAATTATGACACAACATATACATACTGAAATTGATGGAGGGGAGTTTAGCCTAAGCCAGATAGAGCGGGAGCGAGAGCAAACGCACAAGCAAGAGCGGGAGCACAAAAGCATCAAAGGCAAAAAAATTTGAGAGCAGGAGAGTTTTCAGACCATATATATATGACATTTATGTACACATTTGTATCATCATTTTTACTAATTATATGATTTATTGCAAAATAATACTTAGAGCATCTACACATTAATATCGCTACAAAGATCATCAATTGATTCAGGACATCACTAACGAATCTCATATTATTCACCAAATAAATAGCTAGAACTCCTTAATCCTAACCTTAATGTCTTCTGATACACCATAAGTCTAACCTTAATGTCTTCCGATACACCATAAGTCACTACCAGCATGATAATAATTTATAGGGCACGAAATTATCTAAGTTCATAGTCAAAGATAAAAATCCAAATTTTACCATTCTGACAGTTTCTTTCTTTATTTCTTCTCTACTTCTTCTCTTCTTATTTTTTTTTTCAGTCACCTGAATTTTTCATCAAAAACTTACAATAATTCTTAAAAATTTATAACCAAATTGACAAAAATATAAATTGGTGACTTTTAGAGTTCTAATAGAAGCGTTTCAAATCCTAGGCAACATTTTCAAATTTATGGCCAGCCAAATAATTCTATCTAAATTTTGTCTCAAATAAACTTGGAAGTTCAATCAGAAGTCAGTGTGTAATGAATTTATTGAATTCCTCTTTATTATTAAAGAACCACGAATGTGATACCACCCGATTAGAAAGTGGAATGCTAACATATTTAGGCAAGAAGTCCCTTCTGTCATTTTAGGACCCTATTGAAAGCAAAAGGATATTACAACAAACAACAAAAAAAAAAAGTCACTTTTCATAGAGTTAATACTATATTTATCTGCCACTTATTTTCATCTTATATTGTTTCACACTTTCACTTTCACTACCTCTGAAGTGACCTCACATCTCATGACTCATTTTTTGTCAATCTATTTCATTGCCTTAGATCTTCATGCCCATTGCAATAGCTTAAAATCTCTAGTCTCCACACTATAACTGCCCTATAACACATATTTTCAACCCGAGTCAGTAAAAACGTATGCATCAGAGGATGCTTCATATGCAACCATAATACATACAAAGAGTATTTGCTGATAAGTGATATCAGAAACCATAAGCAATTCTAGGGAGATGCCTTTCAGCAGGAGATTAAATACAACCATCTTATTCCTAATTAGGGATGACAAGGTATTGAGTAGAGGTGCACACGCAACAGTCGCATGGCTACCACCAGCTGTCTAGCTCAGTTGGTAATTCTGCTCCTCCATTAGAGGAACAAAAGGGTGCAAATCACTGTGATGGGACAATTTTTTTTTTTTTTTCCTTTTCTTTTTGGGTGTTGGGGGAGTAGGGCTAAAGGGGGAGTGGTAGGTGTAACGACTAGCCTCCTCCTTCCTGTGGTGTATTGTCATATGAAAGAGAAAAACAACATGGACATGAAAACCAAAACTTAATAGATAAATATTCACCTTACCTCAATTTTCCTCATCTCAGCTTCTGTCTTTGCTTTTTGATGATTTTCCCATGCCTCTATCTTGATCTCCTCACATTTGAACCTGAGAAATATGTAACCGTTAGTCCTTATCTTTGGCCAAACATTTGGAAGTAGCAATGTCAAATAGCCAAGTCTAGCTACTGCATGGAAACTCTACGTCAGTTAATTACCCTTGTCAAAAAAATTCACATTCTGACACTGCACCACATTATGATAGAAATTTTCGACTAACCCTCAAACTGTATTTCATAATTACAAATGTTAAAATCTGCATTAATACGACTCCACAACCGTGGAGATCAAAATGTTCAACACTAAACTAATACATCACTTAGTCCATTGTTTATAGCCAAGTTTTGTTCATAAATGATCACATGCAGTTTGATGCCTGACTTCTGACCCAAAAAAACAAAGAAGAAAAAATGCTCCAAATCATACAAAAATACTCTACGAAAATTTCTACTTTTGGAAGTTCACAAATTTTACACTACATAACTGTGACAGATTTAGACACAAGTGACCATGACCAAGAGAAAATATGATAAAGTGTGGACATCAGTTGTACAGGACATGAAGGTCAAAGAGATGACTAGTTCAGGTGGCAAAAAGTAGATACAATAACCTATCTAATAGAGGATATGGCTCTAAATAGAGTTGAGTGGCGAAAAATGATTGTATAGCTGAACCCAAGTAGGATGGAATAAGTTTCTGTAGAGTCAAATTGAATTAATATAAAAAATTATAGCTTGGAGTTAAATTACCGGGCCATATACTTGTCTTTCTCTGTCTGCTCCCAAGCTGCCGCACGCTTCTCAGTTACACTTTTAGTTGGTTCCACTCTTACAGTTTTCAGCGAAGTTGATGCATCCTTGTCCTCATCTTCTTTGCTAGCCCAGGCAGCAATATTCATCTTACCCAGCTGAGTTCCAAGAACCATTATCTCTCTCCTAGTTTTTATCTGCAATTCCTTTTCAGACAAATCATTTTTGTTCAAATCCAAATGGTCATTTGAAGGACCAGTGGGATATGAATCTGGTGCAGCTCTTCCAGGAGTTGATGGTCTAGAAGAAGTTGGACTGCGCATTGGCGTGGTTGACCTCACTGGAGTTCCGGTCCTGGAAGGTTCTTGGCTAGCAATAGGAGTCATTTCAGTACCCATATCTCTCATTGATACTGACCTAGCTGTTGAAGGTGGTGGAATGAATGTTGTTGCGCTATGGATAGATACAGATGAATCATGGCAGCTCAGGTTAACTGCAAATTGTTGTATGCAGCATTTGAGTTCCAAATATCATAGTTCAGCAGGTACAGATAAATTTGCATGAAGTTTACAATAATAAAAAATACAATGAACCACGCTGCTTAGGCTCATGATGATGGTGCTATACTTGATATATTTTGTTAAATGCAAACCATTATAAAAATCACTATTAGCATATCTATTACTAAGAGTTTCCGTTCTAGGAAAATATATTCTTGGATCTTCTGTTCATTTCTGTTGAAATCTGGGCCATCTGGCAAAAAACAAAGAACCTACTCACAAGGATTCAACCCTATTTAATGGCACCACAATAAAGAACTTCACAGCTCAGCTGGTCTTGTAATATAATATTCTTATATTAAACATGGGACTGAGAAGTATATTACAAAATTTGACGATTGTTGAGGGGCGGTACAGGATTTCCCACTAGAGGTTTGAGCTGAAGGAACCCTGGTTTTTAATAGTAGTGCAACCAAAAACTGATCAAAAGTGGGGTGTAAATTCTTGAAAACCAAAATACTCATTTATCATGGTTGTCAATATTGCGTGTTAGAATCAGAAGCTCTCTCTTTCCTCTCTTTCTCTATATATATATATGTGTGTGTGTTCAGAAGCTCTCTCTTTCCTCTCTCTCTCTCTCTATATGTGTGTGTGTGTGTGTGTGTGTGGGATAGCTAAGATATATAAATCACAAACAAAAGTAGATTCATATCAGTACGCTAGTGAACAAAGGCACCCACCTATCCATTGATTGACGGAGGAGGTGGTTGTGAAGGAGAAAAAGAATTAGTTCTTTAAAGTGAAACCATGAAGAATAAACCGAGTAATTGCTATTTGTCTGTGGAGCAATACATCGAAGCCCTTCTTGATTTATATAGCTTAATATATTACAATAAAATAGGATAGATACCCAAAAAGAAAAAAGAAAAAGAGGAAAATTTTATGGCTTTGATTTATCTCTGTTTCTCAAAACCATAACCCTAAGGTAAATGGTGTCGGGTCATCTCTTCCCAGACCGTTCTTGTGCTTCCAATTGGATTCCATTCATAGTAAGTACAACAAATTCTGTTTAAATTCGATATTACCAAAGCCAAACTTTATCATTTCGGAACCTAGTTGGTGGACCTAGATTTGTGAACACCTTTCTAGATCATACCTTTGGAGGGTTTAGTTTCTTCCAAATGATTCCCTCATCGAGTAGTTCGTCACACCAAAATGATGGAAGTTTTGCAGTACAGCAACAATACGTACCAGGGCTATGTCATTAACTCATTATTGCCCAAGAAATTTGCCTTGGGCGATTCGTAAATTTCTATTAAGTTCCCAGGGAGCATGGCACATGTTTAATTAAAGTTTTTCGAAAACACAAGTTATCAAACTAAAATCTCACTCACTCAAAGTAATACACAAGCAATAGTAACACCAAAAGTGGAAGATGCTATATATACTAACATCTATGAAAACACATATATGGCTCAAGCCAAGTAGGAACGTGGTTGAAGTGCTGAAAAGTTGAAAACTAGTTTGCAAAAAAAGGAGAGTAAAGTATTGAAATAGCACAGATAAAGTCTTACTTGCTGATTCTCCAACACACTTCTCAATTATGAGTTCCTCGTTTCCACACAGATCAGCAACCGGGCACGGATCAGTCTTCCAACTAACAAACTTCTTACCCCCATTTTTCTCCTTAGCTTGGCTTAAATCAATTGTCTTAGTATCTGGCTCTTCAAAAGCAACCAATCTTTGATCTGGAACTTCAACAAGAACCTTTGTTGACGGTTGTCTGTTTCCAAAACCAAAATTACTAATTTTCCGCGATCCAACCCCTTGCCCACCCTGGCCCTGAGACTGCCCAGCTTTTGGCCGGTTAGATGTTGGGCTTGCTATCCACTTTTGGGCATCGTCCCATTTCGATGGTGCTGGCTTCGAGAAAGGTGCAAGTGGCACTCTTTGCGGGCCTCGTTCTGCTTTCTGAAACTCGAATAACGACGACGATACACTCGTGCCATCATGCCCACTATCATAATCTAAAGAACTTTCATCTTGAGACCTAATTCTTGAATTGATGAAAGACTGATCTTTCAGTCTACGGTCGGTAACCATCTCCGTACACGAATCAATTGTTGCAGAAGTGGAGCATTCCCGGAGTACACTCACAACATCTACATCTTTGCAATTCTCAGGATAGCTAGCACCTGATTACATCCAATATTCACTCTTTCTTAATGTTTTAACTATGTAATTTATACAGATGTAGACCAAGTTGGAAGGATAAATTTAAGCCATTAATTTAAAATTTAAATAAAATTTCCCAAGATTCGTGGCCATATTTTCCGCTAAAACAAACATATCCAACTCCTCTGTTTGGTCCTTAAGAAAATTGAGAAAAATAAAAAGGAAAAAGGCAATTCATCTCAGGTTAATTTGTTTTCCAAACAATAAAACTCATCTCAACTGGGTCAAATGAGTACTTTCCCGGGTCCCACATAACAAAAAATCCAATGGTCAAATTTCCAGTTTCGTTTCCATTTTCCGATATACGTTAAGAACAACATATAATAAAATAAAAAACAGGCAATGAAATGAAGTGTGTGCATAGATTACTACATAAATCTGTACTGCGTGTATAAATACCAGAGTGATCGGTCTCAGAAACTTGAGATCTCAATGAGAAAGTGGAATCCAGCTGCTCTTCTTCTTCTTCTTCTTTCCTCCTCTTCTCTACTCCCAATAGCATAGTCCTCAATTTCCCAGGAGACAACCCTCCAATTTTCTGTATACAATCACTCTCAAATCAAATCCCAATTTTAGGGTTTCTGAAGCTGCGAGACTCTAAAGAATGAGAGAAAAGTGACGTATATGGAATCATTCATTTCACAGCTCAAATTGGGAGTTTCCTATAGCATAGATTTGCCAGATCAAAAAAAAGTCGATGATTTGTTGATACTCAAAGCGAGAAAATTACAAAACTAATGCGTGAAATGAAAACGAAACGTCTCTGTATGAAACACATTGGGACAAGAGAAAGCAAAATGAAGGAAGAGAATGCAAGACTTATGGTAAATTGGTAAGGCGCTACCTGTTGAGTCCTCTTTTCGATCCTCTCGTAATCCATTTTTGAAGAGTGGCCCTCTTTCGTTCAATACAAGCAATCACAGTATATTGTACTGGTACAACATTGTGTGTGTATATATATATATATATGTATGTCTCCCTTGTTTCTCTCTCTATATTGGTTTGTTTCTCTCTCTACTCTCTCGCAGACTCTCACAGTGAACTGAATTGGTTGTATCTTATTAAATCAGACGATTCTCTGCAGACAAATATAGCACGGAACTGCTATGCCCTACCTTTGGACTACTTATTGACTGGGGAATTATGGTGTTGATCGGTTGTGCTTCATGTCTATTTGAAACCTACAATGCTAATCCAATAACAGCGTGCCACGTCATCTAATTCCTCGCAGGAGTATCTTGTATGACGACGTGGAATACTATGAGTGAATGAAGCTGATTACATAAATAGATGAGAAAGTGTTTGATTAGTACTTTATTAGATTGGGAAGTGAGACAAGTGATAAGTGACAGGGGACTTTGATTTAATGAAATCACTGTCCAATGAAAATTAGGATTTTGTTGGAAAATTTAAGAGTCAACCATTTTGATGTGATTGGTCTATATGATGGATGGATTGATCGGGGACAACACTTTGCGAAGGTGACATTGCGTGTGACGGTAGAAGAAGCGACGTTATTAACATGATAGCACCACTGTTTGACCGTTGAAAGTGGTATTTGTTCAAAGTTGAAACTGGTGAATAATCATTAGTTTAAATCTAATGACGCCCAAAAGGCCAACTCACATGCGCTCATCTTTATTTCATGATTAGTGTTGGCACCAAAACTTGGCAGCCACTTCAGCAGCGACATGGACCAATAGAAAACCGATAAGTGTTGAGCAGGTCCAAGAATGGTCGGCCAATGGAGAAATAGTAGGAGAAGATTTAGGAGGATATCTATATATTCAGCCACCTCACCAAAAGGGTTGTTACTAAACAACCGAAACTTGTGTTAATTTCAAAAGAAAATTTCATTAGAAATAGAACATTGGGAGAGGTTGGCTAAGGTGACATAATTAAGTTCCTAAAAAATAGGGATTTAGTTATGAGAAAGGAAATTGAATCCTTATGAAAATGAAATTCAAAAAGAAGGGGTAGCCACGTGAGTGTATGGGTCAAGGCTATAAATGGTCTTCCAGCCATTTAAGAGAAATATTTCAGTCAAGCTTGAAGAAAGAAATTGCTAAAAATCAGCAACTTACTAGCAATCTTCCAGCAGCTTTCTACCGACTTCTTAGCAATCAATATTTTCTTCAACAAAGGTATTCTATTTGAAGCAAGACGAAACAAGAGGAGAAGAGATGTGAAAGACTACTGGAATACGACCTATTTTCAGCAACAAAGTAAAGCAAATCAAGGAAAAGAGAGATTTCAGTAAAGACTTTCCCATTGAAACTGGAGCATCGATATTGAAGGCGAGGAATGTTGGGCCGTAGCTCAGTTTGAATTTCAAAAGAAAATGATTGAAGCAAAAGAGATTTTCTAGCAATTAATTAGGAAAATAAGTTGAGATAGAACTTCTATAAATAGAAGTATTGTACTCCATTTCCAATTTGTCCAGCACCACCACAAAACATGCATTTCAACTAAAAATGTTTTCAATTGACTCTACGTCATTTTCCTATAAATTTCTTTATTTCAATTTAATGGCAATTGATTAGATCATTGTCAACTATTTCTATTCAGCCATTTACTTTCTTTCAATTTCAATTATGCCAATTTTAATTACGCAATTTTAGTTAGGCTTTCAATTCAATGGCAATTGATTAAATTCTTGCCATTGAATCGTAGTGACAATTGATTGAATTCTTGTCATTACTTGGCTGATGGCAATTGATTAAATTCTTGCTATCACGTTTCAGTGGCGATCGATTAAATTCTTGCCATTGTGTTTGGCTGATGGCGATTGATTAAGTTCTCGCCATCACGTTCGGCCGGCGATCGATTAAGTTCTTGCCGCCTGTCTTCACTCGGCCATTCCATCCATTCAAACATTCATCAGCCGTTGCATTTCTTTAGACACTCTAAAAAGTCCTTGCTACAAACAAGGCATAAAAGAACCTTACTGGGAGTTCTTACTAGTCTCTCTCCCACACAATCGCCTGAGAGCCAACCATCGGAAAAAGGGATAGGCTGGTGTTCAATTACATATTTTGGGTATTTTGTACAAATATTCTGGCACGCTCGCGAAGAGTCCATCGACCGGCGTAGGGAACAAAAATCGCGCGAACACGTTTTGGCACGTCCGGTGGGAACACTACTAGAGTGTTATAAAAGAGGCAAATATGCCGCGGCCCACAAAAAATTCTATGGCCGTGGCTACTGATGAAGATTTAGAGGAAGGCGATCAGCTAGTACAGGCTGAGAACTCTGCAGCAGGTCCTACTGATGAGTTAGCCGTACTTCAAGCACAGGTTAGCTCCTTGGTAGATGCAATGGGAAGGATGGGAGCACGCTACAACGACTTGCATGAAAATATGTCCCAACTCTCAGCCTTTATTTTGAACAAGCCGACTCAAGCTAGCAGCTCCAACAATCAGGAATCGGTTTCTCAGCCGAATCTGTCATAAGCTGCTCGGCCAGAGAGGGCCATTGAAACATCACAGCCATGGCCGCCAGTAGTGACACTTTAACCAGTTGCAACATCAAGTCAGCCGGTTCATACGCTACTCACCTGGGCAGAAAGCTATCCTCAGCCTACGTTGGCAGGTTCTAATCAGCCACCAGTAGTAGGTTCGCAGCCACAGGTAATTCTACCAAACCCTTCTCGGATGCCTTTGAACTCGGGGGGCAATCAGATCAGGTGGAGGCCACCGAAACCACTGTATACTCATGTGCCGCCACAGGTAGGGCTCGGGGGGCAAAATATGGCTAATCAGCCACATGATTGGCCGAATTGCTATCAACCAGCGGCTAATCAGCCGCTAGTTTTTAATCAGGTACCACCAATATTAAATCAGCCACATCAAGTCATGTTAGATAGAAGACAATTAGCTGATTTACTCACAGAAGAATATGGCCTGGAACTTAGAGGTGTCGGCCGACCAATTTATAGAACTCCTTATCCAGAAGTGGTAGACCAAGTTGAGTTCCCTAGAGGATATAAAGTCCCTGACTTTGTAACCTTTAATGGAGAGGGGAATCAATCAACCGTGGAACACATTGGCCGATTCACGGTTCAATGTGGAGAGGCCAGTGTTAGCCCGTGGTTGAAATTGAGACTTTTTCCTAACTCTTTGACAGGGGCAGCTTTTTCATGGTATATTCGTCTACCTCCTAACTCTGTTTTTAATTGGCCACAGATGGAGGAATTATTCCACAATCAGTTCTACCGTACGGAGACAGAACCTACTCTGGCCGATTTATCCAGGCTAAGTCAATTGCCTAGTGAATCGGTCGAGACATTCATTGCAAGATTCAGGAGAGCAAGATTAAGATGTCGTGTACCTCTTCCAGAACAGGAGTACATTCGTTTGGCTTTGAACGGCCTTGATTTTGAACTTCGGAAGAGGTTTGAAGGAGTTCCATTTCGTGACATGTATGACCTGGCCGAGAAAGCTACCAGGTATGAGTTGGTTCTCAAAGAGGAGAAAGAACGAAAAAATTCCTCTAAAGGTACGTACTATAGGGACCCCAACTATGAAGTTTATTCAACTGATGTGGTTGAAGAGGAAGATTTTGAAGCTAATTTAGCCGAAGTCATTCTAAAGAAACCTTATGTATGTGACACTTTAACAAAACCAAATGTATCCACCAGTGGTACTCAGCCGTCGACTTCATCGGCAAGGAATGGTACGGCTGATACTGGTAAGGTTTATACGTTTGATCTGGCCAAAACAGAACAAATTTTTGATCATTTGTTGGCCGACAAACAAATCGTTTTGCCAAAAGGACACAATATACCATCGACCAATGATTTAAAAGGAAGAGAGTTCTGCAAATTTCATAATTCATGGAATCATACTACTAACAATTGTTATGTATTTAGAAATGTATTGCAGAAATCTATTGATGAAGGTGTATTGAAATTCCCTGAAAAGAAGCCAGATGTAATGGGGGTCGATGGCGATCCATTTCCTAATATTGTCAGTACCAATGTAATCAGCCTGGCAACTGAAAAAGTCGCTGATAATGGTAGACAGGAAAGATTACCAAAAGTTCTTGGTAGTTCATCGGCCAGTAATGATGAGCAGAAAGTTAAGGACTTGGAAATTCAGTTAAGAGAAGCTCAAATTGCCCTCATCAACCATGGTTGTTGTCCAAATTGCAAAGGCCAAAGGAATGACTCAGACAAGAGGGGCTATTTCCAATCAACCAGAAAGCGCAGTGTCCATGAAAGGTTAGGCCATCAGCCTAGACAGAATCACAAAGAAATCAATCGATCAATATTTAGAGAAAATGGGCCGAGGGCAGTGAGAATCATTCGGTCATCGGTGGCCGATAGAGTCCTGCCAGAACAACATTTTTATCCTAGTTTCAAAAGGAAACCAACAATTCAGTCAGAAATATAGGTTCAAAAAGGAGAAGAATCTAGCCGTGTAAGAACGGTTAGACCTCCTTTGGTTGACCATGGCAGATGGACTCGAGTAAGTCACCCAAAGTTTCCTAAGCAGCCTCCTACACGTACCCAAAAAAGGAGGATGCAAAGGAAAAATGCAGAACTCAAAAGGAAAGAAGACAAGATCGACCATGATCAACTAGAAAGGAAAATTGAACCAGTGGTGGCTGAGGACATGGAGGTCGCTACATCATTTGAGAATAAGGCATGCTTTTATGAAGAAAAAGATGATCAGCCCGACCAGGATCCAAAGCATGCGGCCAAGTATAGAATTCGTTTTGGTTCTCTCCCGGATAAGGTAAATTGTAACATGGTATTTGTTTTGCCTTCTGTGTTTGAAGCAAGGATAGAACCAACGATGAACAGGGATGTTGAGTCAGCCAAGCAGGAAGAAAAGGCTGAATCTTCAGAAATTAAGAACGATTCGACAAGTTCATCGGCCGGGATAGGATTGATCTCTCAGGATCAGCTATCTAAGGCCGATAAAATCATTTTTGAAAAACCACCTTTGTCCATGACACAGCAGTTGAGGCCGTTGTATGTTAAAGTATGGGTTGAGGGTCAGCCAATCAATAGGGTTTTGGTTGACAATGGTTCGGTGGTGAATGTCATTCCA